GCAGCTGTGGAGAGCTTGAGCACTCGCCTTTTGGTGTCGTCCGTGTCCCCCCGTAACAGTAGAATAAGCGTATTTGTATTGCGGGGGTGAAGGTTAGTTAATTAATTCTCCTTGATAGTGAAGCTGCCCTAAGTGCTAAGTGTTCCCTTCCTCAGCCTCCTCACCTGCGGTTTTATAATTTCCTCTGAACCTCCTTTTGTTTAAATGATACAGATACAAATGTATTGGGAACCACGTTAAGCCAACTGTTGTGTAAAAATAGCAGAGCCCCTGAGAGGTCTGCATCGTGATTTTGGTTTGAGGAGCATTTGGTTTGAGTACAGCTCTGCCTGAAGCTGCTAAGGGATAAATGTCATGCTGCCTGTGCTTCTTGCCCTTTCCTACACGTCTGTATTTAAAGCCAGGCTCAAATCTGCTCATAACTAGTGTTCATTTGTTTGTCTGTGACTTTACCACGTTTGCCTCTAGTCTCTTGGCTCTAAACCCCTCTTTCAGCTCTGCCCTCTCCCTGTTTTAAAACACAGTACTGGCAGGCCATGTCTTGGCGGTTGGGGTTTGTTATCTGTTCTCATGGACCCAGCTGCAGATTTTTAAGATGTTTCTGGTCCAGGTGATCAGGCCGCTCTTTTGTTGGAAATCACCACACCAGAACAAGCCAGAGTAAGTGTGTGCCTGCTGCTGTTGGGGGCAGGGGGGGGGCATCCAGACTGGGACGTGGAGCCTGAGGCTGGGCTGGGGTATGCTGTGCAGCTCAGGGTTTTTTTTTCCTGTACCAGACAAGGCAGAGGCAGCGAGCACTTGAATAAAAATGGAGCATTGCAGGTGCCAGATCAGCTTGCAGGTTTTCAGTTTTCTAAGACCCCTGTGATGCATGTGCAAGATGCTCGAGAGATTTCTCAGTCCTTCTCCAAAGATGTTCAGCTTATGAGCACGTGCTGCTCTTCATCATGCTGTTTTAGATGCAGGGCTTGTGTTTTGCAGACAATGAGTGGAAATGAGGACGACTGGCTGGCTCTCAAACCCCAGGAACCTTCTCCATCCCAGTGCTGCGGCAGCGGCTGCAAACCCTGCATCTATGATGTGTATGAGAAGGAGCTTGCACAATGGGAGAGGGCCAAAGCAAAGCAAGACAAAAGCCTTCTCATGGAAAAGAAGAAGCAGGTCAATTTATCTTCATCACATCCTAAAGCCAGTGCTTTGATCATACTTGTTAGCGTGTGGGGTCGTGGTGATGGGCGAGGGATGCAGCAATAGATTAAAGGGACACCTTAAGAGAAGGCTGTAAATGCAATTCCCCAAACTCTGCCTTCACAGCCACCCTCCCCCTTGCCCGATCTCTCCCTGCTGTAATGTGATTTTTCAAGTATCGAGTTTGCCCTGGTGTCACATTACAGCCCTGGGTCTGCAGCTTCTCCTTGCTTGGGGTACCCCGGCCAGCCAGAGCCAGCCTCTCTGGAAAGTGGGAATGGGTGGAAGGTACAATTTTCTCTGACAGTTTCCTCAGAGAACCTCTGATTTCCTGACCTTTTTCATCTTTTCCTGATTTTTTGACTTCTACTTTGAGGATGAAAAAAGCTGCATTGTGTGTGGTGCAGTAGTTGTCTTCAGAGCATAATTTTAAGCTTGTCAGTGCCCTTTTGCATAAGATTAACTATGCTGGGTCAAGCAAAAATGATCAGTGTTGAAAGAGGTACCAATATTTCCTATTCGCAGTGGTCATCAGTAGGTTTCAAAGTTGCCCCCAAAGCAGCGCTTAGCTCTTTTAGCAGTATTACTTCTGTTTGTTTCCAGACATGAGAAAATGATTGCAGTGAGTCACAGGATGACCTTGCTGTAAGGTGTAAAAGTGTAATTTAAAGGGAGGGGAGGAATGCAAGATCCCAAAGCGCAAGCCGCAGAATATGATAATGAATCAGCAGAGCACTGAAATTTGCAGTAGGCCCCAGCATTTAATACGTGTTCTTCTGGAGTCCTGAGTATCTCCGACACTAAATTAGCACACACGTTTGCTTCCAAAGAAAAATAAAATAATAAAAGACACCATCTAACCAAGTAATTATTTATTGTTGTTCTTGCAGAGCAATAATTCAGAACTGAATCCAGATACATTTACTGCATTCAGCATAAGCTCGGTGGAGCAGCTAACAGAGGACACCTACCAGTACAAATTTGAATTACCGGGAAATAGCAGTCTGCGATTGAGTTTAGGACAACATATCGTGTTAAGGTATTGTTCTCTGTGCTAGTTAAACAGTCTGCATTATGTAAGCTAATACGTAGGTTTTTGTCAATAGACAAAGGCTCCATACCAGGCAAATCATAATTTCTATACCTCCACAATGACACAGATGAAAGAACTTGTGAGCTCATTAGCTCTACTAATTTTATGGTAAAAGCCATTCCAAAGCTGTATTTTTCTTCAGCATTATCCTTGTGTCGGTGGGTCAGAAAGAACTAGGTATGATTAAGAAAATCCATTTGCAGAAAGAAAGAGTCAAAGAATAGATGTTACAACGGATGATTTACTGCAGCATGTTGGGATGAAGACAATGAGCTGCGCTTACCCCAGAGCTTGGTATTTTAGGCCATGTATCTTGGGGTAACTCAGCACCCAGGGTGTTACCCACGGTGTCCAGGCATTTCCTGACTGATTTCTAACAAAACAGCCCTCCTGTGTAGTTTATTACTTGCCAGAAAGGAGCCACTTGGGAAAAGTTTATGTCTCTCTCAGCCATCTGTGGTGATCATTGCCAGATAGAAAAAGTCACGTTATGATGCCATTGATCTGTATCTGTTGACGTTATTTGTACGTTAACAGCTGATGTGTACAGCTGGCTGGCTGCTGAAAGTACATGCTTCTCCCTTCAGCCATCTCTCATAATGCAGCAGAGGAAAAGGTTTGGTCACTTCAATCAATTACCGTAGTCAGTAGTAAAGAGCAGGGTGGATATATTCTATGGAAAGAGAAAACTTACACGAAAGTACAGCATCTATTGACAAGACCTCGGGTCAAGGCTGTGCCCTGGCTTTCATTATTTCATTACCAGATGCTGTCCGAACACAGAAAGGAAAGCAGACTGCAGCCCAGAAGGGGTAGCAAACTTACCATGAAAGCGTTTTTCTCTCCCTTGCCAGTCTTGCATGTTCAGCTGTTTCTTACAAAACAGCTCAACTGTCCTTCTGGGGATGTGTCCATGAGCTGAATATGTGGTACAGCTGAGGCCACCACCAGGAAAACAAAAGGTGCATTGCTTGCCCCTCTGGAAGGGAATGTTCTGCATCTGTGCACAGGCTGGGCCACTGGGAGGAGGACCTGCTGCCTCCCTCATCTCCCCAGAGGACTGCAGAAGTTTGGTAGTACCAATTAATGACCCAAGTCACAGTCCTATATTTCTCTTCTCAGAGGAATGGTGAATGGTTTGGAGGTCCAGCGAGCCTATACTCCGATTAGCCCAGGGAATGCAGAAGGTTACTTTGAAGTTTTAATGAAAGTAAGTAAGCCTGTACAATATGGATCGGAGTCTAAGGTGCCGGGGACTGTTTTCTTTAGGAACCGAGCATGCTGTCAGCACTTCGAGTGCAACTCTCTCAAATCCCTCATGGACTGTTTCTGTGTCGTTTTGAAGCAGTTGTGGTTTGCTGATAAAAATTGCAGTTTTTCCCACAAAACTGAAAGCAGAGGAAGGCGACACACAAACAAGTGCTTTGCAGCATAAGCCCTGTTAAGCACTTGGGAGAGCCTCCTGGGAGCCCTGCAGTTGCCAGTGTGGAAAGAGGTGCCCATTCCACTTCTCTGGTTTCATTTTGCCTTTTCAGTCTGTTTTTGAAATTGCACCGAGTTGTCAGCCCAGTTGAACCACTGAATTTGGGAAGTCTTTCCCCAGCCCTTATGCTCCCCCCTGTATTTTACTTTAAGAACACTCCTCAGAAAAAAAATTCAGCTTGGTTAAAAATGTAGGTAGACAGTAGGCAGCTGTTCCTGGTTTGCAGGCAGGGCTCTGGAGCTGCCTGCAGTCTGAAAGGGTCCCTGTGGCCTGCACTTTAGGCTGCACCTATCAAGGTGGATGGGGTGGCAGAGCCCCATTTTGGATGAGTGTCCTGGCCCTTCTGGAGGCCACCACAAAATGCTGGTTGAGTTCAAAACAATTTTGTAGGAGAACTTGGCTGGAAATTTGTCTGAATAAAGTCTGCAGGGCCCTCATAAATGATTACTCTGTGTGGAGGATATCGAATTGGAGAAAATTTTTCTGATACTGCATTTGTATGTCACTAGTGATTCCTCAGGGCAGACACAGACTTCAGCATAGGTGTGAAATTCAGAGTGCTGGGTATCCCAGGTGGCTTGCAGAGAATGGCCACTTGTCCTCTGCCTGTCTTCCAGGATTTCACATTTTTGGGGTTTATTATGCATTATACGTTCAAACACAAACCCTGTTCTTTAGAGAAGTGTACAGCTTCTACAGGACACCTGTGGGAGGGTCATTTCACCATTCTTGTGGCAATTGGTGTGTGGTAGGGGAGAGAAACGTTGCATTTGAGTTGCGTTAATAGGATACGTTCACAGGATGACTGTGAAATTTCATGTATACTTGCTTATTACTCACAGGTTTTGCATTTCAATAATAATAGTAATGATTGTAATGATACCTTTCTTTTATATAGAAGCTTTCATCCCAAAGGGAGCTATAGTTATTCTCTGGCAGTGACAAAAGAGGTTGGTAACACCCAGTGTAAAGCAGCCATTTTTATAACTCACTCTGTAGATTGTGGTATATTTCACACCATTCAGGCAATTTTGGAAAGTACTATATTATTATTATTACTATGCAATCCAAGCACTGTTCAAACCCTTCTGTCTCCTGTTATTATAGCATTGCATTTGTGATACTACAGTTAAGAGTGAGGGAGTTGCCATTTACAGAGCATAACCCTCTTTTTGAGTGATTTTATAATGTTAGGGTTTCTCTCCATGTAAAACGAGGTGTAGAAGTTTTCCCCCAGGAGATAATTATTTTTTTTCTTTTTACTTAGAAAAATTCATTTTAAACCCACTCAATCACTTCTCACTTCAATTTTTGGAAATAATTTTGGTGAAAGAAGGATTGGTTTAGTTTCCCATTACCCTGGTCCATTGGGAATAGGCAGTAGGTGAGGCTGACTTTCCTGCTCTTGCCTTGGGTTTCCGTGTATGTTTGAAGAAGGTAGGTATAAAACACTGCTCCTTTGATGCAACTGCACACTCTTTGCATGAGACTTAGTACCTGCCCAGAGCTCTCTTAACTTAAAATGTTTCTGACAGCAACTCAGTGCCTGGATGTCTGTATGTTACGCATTTACCTTTTGAATGTAACAACTAGTGCTAACAGTTTTTAATACTTCAGATATCTTGTTTAAGTGAGGTTGTTAGAAGGGGAGGAGCATCTGTGTTCTTTATTAGCCAACACTGCTTGCAAGCACAAGCACATGCTCGCTCGCTCGCTTTTTCTGAGCTTCTTTGTGGTTCACCAATTTCATTTGCCTGCAGTGCAGCTTGGTGGCTAGCCAAGGCACTGGGGTGTGGAGCTGGGCTGCTGTCCAATGTGCGTGCAGAAAATACCCCAAAATATGCTTCTTTCGTATGGACTGGAGCCTTTGAAGGCTTATATCACATCTCATCTTTTGACCTCTGGTTGTGCTCTTCCTCAGGCTTATCAGTGGCATCACCTCTGTGTGAGAGGAGTTGTCTGCCGCAGCTGTTGGGCTTATCTGCTCTTGCTGTTTGGACCAGACCTTGTTCTCCAGCCAGGTCCCATAGACTGTGACTGTTGTTCTGTGCACGTTTGTTCTCATTAACCACAAAGTGGTCATACTGTAGGACATACATACACATACAGCACATAGCAACAGGGCTGCTTGGATGAGCCCTTCGTTTTCCAGCCTCTCCTTGCTTCTTCTTTCTAGCAAGCGCTGACCCTTCCTCATCAGTCATGAGTGAGG